CAGCCCTAGTTTTTTTTTTTTTTTTTAATATTTATGTTTTAGTTGTAATTGATACAATATCTTTCATTCATTTATTTATTTTTATGTGGTGCTAAGAATCAAACCCAGGTCCTTGCCAGTTCCAGGGGAGTGCTCTACTGCTGAGCCACAACCTCAGCGCTAGTTTGGTATTTTATTTAAAGACAGGGTCTCATTGAGTTGCTTAGCACCTCGTTGTTGCTGAGGCTGGCTTTGAACTCACTATCCTCTGCCTCAGCCTCCCAGGGCACTGGTATTACAGGCATGTGCCACCATGCCTGGTGTACCAGGGGTTTTTAAGGGGAAATGACACAATATTTTTCTTCACTGACCTTCAGTGAGGCATCTAAATCTCTTTGTCCTTCTGTGTACAACCTTGTAAAATCCAGTTTTAACTGCTTTACCTCAGTTTTTTGTTTTGTTTTGGTATTAGGGATTAAACCCAGGGGTTCTTAACCACTAAATTACATCACTAGCCCTTTATATTTTTATTTGAAACAGAGTCTCATTAAATTGCTTATGGCCTTACTAAATTGCTGGGGCCAGCCTTGAACTTGTGATCTTCCTGCCTCAGCCAGGAGGCCTTGTTTTAAGTCAGTTTAACAAGAACCCCATCCTCCATATCTGATCAGGATCTTCATCCTTCCCTATCCCCCCAGTGATCCTGATCACCCTGGCTTGTCTTCAGCAAGAATTGTTAGGTTAATGAGGCCAAAATCTCCCTTATGATGTTTCTGCTTGGTAATTTTCTATCCTTGGCTATAAATTCACACTGGCTCCTGCCATACTGGGAGTTGAGCCCAATCTCTCCCAATGCTAGACCTGGTTACAATGGTCCCTTTACCTGATTATTATTTTTCATTACAAGTGTCATTGAATACTTTTTGACAGCAGCCACCGCCCACCCCAATAGTTTATTACCAACAGGGAATACACACCAAATTTTCAAATCTTACAGTGATTCAAGAGAAAGCTAAAATCCAGACTTTTAGGTGAAATATCTTATTTCTAAACATTGACAACTTTTATCAAATATTCAGCTTTTTTTTCTTTCTTTCTTTCTTGTTTGTTTCATGGTCCAGAGCCCTCTTTTAAAAATTTGAGAGGGAATCTCACTAAATTGCTCAGGCTGGCTAGAACTTGATCTTTCTGTCTCAGCATTCCTAGTAGCTGGGATTAGAGGTGTGTGCCACCGTTCTGGCTCTTCTGCTAGCCCACATGCCTCACTTTACAGTGTTAAACGCTAGTGAAATTTGAGTTGTTATTTAGCCAAATTTCCTCATTTTCCGGATAAAAATGCAGACTGAATAACTAGGTGAGTTGCTCAAACTGTTTGGTAACTAGAGCCAGTGGTTTCTAACAATGGCTAACATCTGCTGTGTAGTCCTTACTGCAAAATCTTATTTAGCAATGAGGCCAGTCCTATTATTATCCTACTTAACTAATTAATAGCAAAACCTAGATCTTCTAATTCCCAGTCCACCACAGTATTAAACACTTTCCTGCCAAGCTGTCGTATGTAGTCATTTGATTTAAAAGGAAAAAAAATAATAATTTTTTTTAACTTATCTGTCCAAGTTTGCTTAGCTGCCAGTTTGGGGCTTATTCTTTTGGGGGGAGGGGCGTGGCTCAGGAGCACTCAACCACTGAGCCACGTCTCCAACCCTATTATTTGTATTTTAAATAGAAACAGGGTTGAGTTGCTTAGCGCCTTGCTAAATTGCTGCGGCTGGCTTTGAACTCACGATCCTCGGGTCTCAGCCTCCCGATCTGCCGGGATTTCAGGCTTGCACCACCGCGCCCAGTTTAGGGATCATTCTTAAGAATGTTGCAGAAAAATGATACAGTGGAAAATATTAGACAGGAAATGAAATTAAAAAGAGGAAATCGTATCACTAAGAAAATGAAGGCCTAGGGAGCCCATTATATTGCAGCCTGGGTGCAGAATCCTAGAAGAGAGAAAGTTCAAGAGCAACTTCCGTGCAAGTAAGTCTTCCCAGCTGGTGGGATTATGGGGGTTTCTTACATGGTGATCTGTACTTTCCTGAACTTTTGAATGCGAAAGAAAAGCAAGGCGGGCGGTGAGAAGGGAGATAAATCTGGGGAACAGAAATAAAAGGGCTAGGAGGGAACTGGAGCGCCCGCCCGCACGCCGGCCGCCGCCAGCCCGCCGGGCACGTGACGCGGCCAAGATGGCCGACCGGGAAGACTGCTGCCGGGCGGAGCGGGAGCCGGAGCCAGGGCCAGGGTCCGCGTCGGAGCCCGGAGAGGAGTTTGAGATAGTGGACCGGAGCCAGCTGCCAAGCCCGGGGGAGCTGCGGAGCGCCGCGAGGTCCCGGGCGACGGCCGAGGGCTGGTCTGTGCCCATCCTGACCCTGGCGCGAAAGGCCACCGGGAACTTGTCGGCGAGCTGCGGGAGCGCGCTGCGTGCGGCTGCGGGGCTGAGCGGCGGGAACGGCGGCGGGGACGGCGCGGTGCGCGCAGGTAGGCTCTACCGGGGGGCGCCCCTGTGGTGCTGCTGCCGCGCTGCGCGTGGGCAGCTGATCCCTGAGGCTCCGGGTCGCGGTGGGGTCCGGGCTGGCGAGGGTGTACGTCCAGTTCAGCTAGTCAGACGAGTTGTCAACACAAACAACCTGTTACACGCCTCGCTGCTCGCCGGCGGTCTTTACGCTGCACTGCTGAAACGGGATTCGGCCATGGGATTGGACAGCCTGAAGTTGGGCCACGGCCATTCGTCATTTTGCAGTAGTAATTGTACGCTCCAGAACAGCAGCACTTTTCTCACGGATTTGACTGTAGATAAGAAAAGGTACGGATTTAGATTTAAGTAATCCGTATTAACTTTTGAATACTTAAGTATCGTAGCGCACGCCTGTAATCTCAGCGATTTGGGAGGCGGAGGCAGGAGGATGGCAAATCTGAGGGCAGTCTCAGCAATTTAAGGAGGCTCTGAGCAATTTTCGGAAACCCTGTCTCAAAATTAAAAAAGGGTTGGGAGTGTTGCTCAATGGTAAAGCGTCTCTGGGTTCAATCCCCAGTACAAAAAAATAAAAACAAGAATCGAACACAATACCATTCTCTTGCTGTTAAAACTCAGAATCCAGTGGGTCTCCCACCTTCCTCCCGCGGGTGTTGAAAGAGCAAATGTGACTCACAGTGGAGTAAGAACAATAAAGTCGGGAGACAGTAGGTTTTGGTTCTCCTCAGGCACTGCCACTAACGGGAGAAGCCATCACCCCTCATACTTACAGTTTCCAGACTGTAAAAATGGGGATTTTTTTTTTTTTTAATCACCCAATGAGCTCTTGAAATCCATTTAAACAGCCGGGCATGGTGGCGCATGCCTGTAATCCCAGCCGGGATCCAAAGTTCAAGACCAACCTCAGCAATTTAGTGAGGCCCTAAACAATTTAGGGAGACTCTGTCTCAAAATAAAAAGGACTGGGGATGTGGCTCAGTGGTAAAGCGCTCCTGGGTTCAATCTCCAGTACAGAAAGAAAGAAATCCATTTAAACCCTTGTAATCTAATGTTTCAGCATGTCTATGAGAAGAAAGGAAACATTAAATGATTATGATATTAAGATTTGACCTAGTCCTATAAGCCAAATATTTAGAGCTGTGCTATCCAATACAGTAATCATTAGACCTGAGTGATATTTAAATGTAAAATTAATTAAGATTCTATTAAAATTGAATTTCTTGCTTGGCATGATGATGCTTGCCTATAATCCCAGCAACTAGGGAGACTGAGGCAGGAAGACACAAGTCGCAGACCAGCCTTAGAAACTTGGTGAGACCCTGTGTCAAAAAATAAAGGACTGGAATATAACTCAGTGGTACAGCACCCCTGGGTTAAAAGAATATATATTGAATTCCTTCTTCTTCTTCTTCTTCTTCTTTTTTTTTTTTTTTGTTGTTGTTGTTGTTTTGTTTTCATTTGTTATTTTATTTCCACATTTCTATATGTTACACACACTGGCCTGAAATTCACCATCCTTCTGCCTCGGCTTCCTGAGTAATAGGAACAACAAGCATATGCCACCATGCCTGGCTGATTTTTTTAATTGAATTTAAAAATTGAAATTGAATACATTTGGCAGTCCTATACATGGGTTCTGCATTCATGAATTCAACCAACTGCAGATGAAAAGTGAAGTATTCAGGGGAAAAATTGTGTCTGTGCTGAACATGTACTGATTTTCTTGTCATTTCCTAAACTATCATATGGAAGCTATATGCAGAGTATTTACATTGTTTTAGGTGTTATAAGTAATCTAAAGATGATTTAAATTATGCATAATTTTAGAGAAGGGACTTGAACATCTGTGGATTTTGGTATCTTGGGAATCCTGGAACCAATCCCCTTGTGGATAATGAGGGACACTATTTTATTGAATTTAACATTGAGTTCCTTAGTCACAGCAGCCACACTTTTAGTGCCTCGTAACTTGCATATGGCTATTGGATAGTGTATTGGATAGTGTAGTGTAGAACATTCACAATGGCTGTGGGGCAGAGCTGACTAAAGACTATAGTGCTTTCTAAGAAATACTGTAATGTGGGTTATGGATATATCTCAGTTGGTAAAGTGCTTGTCTCGCATGCACAAGGCCCTAGGTTCAACCCCCACCACCAAAAAAAGAAAAAAAAAAAAATACTGTAAGGTGCCTTTGCGGTTTTTTGATTCCCTTCTACCCACTGGTACATCTGTCGATGTCAGATTCAGGCAGTGCAAAGTAGGACTACAAAGTAAGGAAAGAGCCTGCTCAATCCAGGACTCCACTGCCCTCTAAGATGACCCCTTTCTGGAGACTTTTCCACATGTAAGTGAAAATTTGATTGTACAACAGTCTTTAGAGTCAAGACACAGGATCTCCTGGTAACCTCTTAGCTCAGATGACAAAGTAAGCAAATATAGTCATGCAGCCCTTAACAATGAGGTTACATTTTAAGAAGTGCATTGTTAGGCACTTGCATCATTGTGTGAACATAATGTGTACTTACAGAAACCAGGGTGGTCTAGCATACTATGCACCTAGGCTACATGGTATAGCCAATTGTTCCTAAGCTGCAAACCTGTATGGCATGATATTGTACTGAGTACAGTAGGAGCTGTAACACAGTGGTTTTTGTGTATCTAAACACATCTAAAGTACTGTAAAATAAAATATAAAAGGTAAAAATTGTATACCTGTATAGGACACTTAACTATGAATGGAGCTTACAAGCTTGGAAATTGCTCTGAGTTAGGCGTGAGTGAGTAATGAGTGATGAAAACTGAGGACATTACTATATGTTCCTGTAAACTTTATAAACACTGTATACTTGTACTGTACTGTGGGAGGCCAACCTTACGGGTGACTGAGTTACACTCCCCAGCTGGGTGCTGAGGTGCTCAGTCACAGAAATGGGTGTGTCTTGCTACAGCCCCATGGGTGAAGCTATGCTCACCTGTTCCTTTGTAATATAACCCCTTGCCCTGTTTAGGATAGAATCTTCCATGGAAGTGCCTTGTGTGTGTCCCCTCCTCTTACTGTGCCCTTGGGTGTGGCCTACCCAGGTATCAGTCAACCTGCTGACAGTGGACATCATGAAAATAGACTCAGCCCCTGAAACCTGACCCCTTGCCTCATTTGAATAGCTTCTCCTCAATAAAAGGGGTCAGCGCGTGCTCTCGCTCTCTCTTTCTGCGGACCCTTAAGGTCAGAGGAGCCGTCACAGCAACCCCAAAGAAAAAGGTATTTGTGTCTCTTGTGTGGTTATTTCGTGCAGCCCAGTTAGCCCAATTTAACTAGAGTGACCCCCGAGCCTTTTAGTCGCGAGAACAGAAACCTGGCAATTGGCGCCCCACGTTGGGCGCCAAATTCCACCATGCGACCAGCGCACTGGTTTCATTAAAGAGGTTCTTGGCATAAAAGTTAGCTAGTGAGATCGAAATAAAACACACAGACTCAGTTACCTTTTTCTATGACCATGTCCGAGACGGCTTTCCCTCTGACTCATATCTCGAACCACCCGGTAGGGCAGCAGGGATTACTCAGGGCTATCAGGAGAGAGAGAGAGAGCACGCCAGGGAGTAGCCTTTTATTGGGGAACAAGAAATTCAGGGGAGAATTCCATCCAATGAAGGTTGAGGGGGGCAGCACTCCAAGGTCAGGGTCAGTGATTGGCCCCAGGGTAAGTGGTCAAGTCACACCCCCACACGGACAGGCTCTCGCACCAGGAGAGGGTCGGGAAAGCTCCGACACAGTTTAGCCAGAGTGCCTCAGACCCAAACCAGGAGTTGCCCAGTCACGTGTGAGAATGGCTCCCCACACTGCACTAAGTTTACAAAAATTTTTTTTCTTTCCTCAGTAATAAATGAACCTTAGCTTACTATAACTTTTTTGGCTTAATAAACTTTAATTTTTTTTTACTATGTGATTCTCATAATAACACATTACATAGCTGTGCAGAAATATTTTCTTTATATCCTTTATCTGTTTTTGAAATTTTTAATATTGATTGATTGATTGATTGATTTTGCAGTGCTAGGGATCAAACCCCAGGGCCTTGCATGTGCTAGGCAAGTGCTCTACCACTGAGTTACATCCCCAGCTCTATTTTTGTTTTTATTGATTTTTTGCTGGGTATATGTATTGATGGATTTATTTTGCTGTGCTAGTGATGAAATCCAGTACTTTGTATATGCTAGGGAAGTGCACTACCACTAAGCTACATCCCCAGCCCTATATTTATTTTTATTTATTTTTTTACTTTTTAAGCTTTTTTGTTAAAACCTAAGGTTCATAGAAAATAGAGTGGTAATTACCAGAGCCAGGGATGAGAGAGGGTGATAGAAAGAGAAAGGTTAATGGATATGGGGTGCATTTTGATAGGAGGAAAAACTACTAATGTTCTGTAGTACACTAGGATAACTGTGATTGGTAATTATTGATTTCTTTCTTTCTTTCTTTTTTGTCTTTCTTTCTGTCTTTCTTTCTTTCTTGGTGGTGATACTAAGGATTGAACCCAGGGCCTTATACATGTCAAGCAAACACTCTACCACTGAGCTACATCCCCTGCCTGATTGGCAACAATTGATTGAATGTTCCATAATGGCTAACAGAAATTTGGAATTTTCTCAACACAGGGAACTAATACTATCTGAGGTGCTAGATATGCCAATACCTTGGAATGGCCATTACTTTGTATATATGTATTGAAAAGTCACACTATATCCCCATAAATATGTGTAATTACTATATGTCAATTAAAAATGAAGATATGCTGGGTGCACGGTGGCCTGTAATCCCAGTAGCTTGGGAAGCTGAGGTAGGAGGATCACAAGTTCAAAGCCAGCCTCAGCAAAAAGCAAGGCGCTAAGCAACTCAGTGAGATCCTGTCTCTAAATAAAATACAAAAAAGGGCTGGGGATGTGGCTCAGTGATCAAGTGCCCCTGAGTTCAGTCTCCGGTACAAAAAAAAGAAAAAGATATAAAATA